GAATCTCACATAAATTTACAAGATCATTCTGAATTCAGTCACTATGGATTGCTGCATACATTTAATTATGTAGTAGATATGTATGGCAGATAATCACACAGAAGGGAAAAGGGAGAGGAAAGAGAAAAATACCAGAAATACAGAAGAAAAAAAAAAAACTGTAAGATCTACAGGTTAGGAAACAAACTAGAACCTTAAAGTGATTATACAAGGTGAAAAAAACTCAAAACCATTATCAGCTACTTAATAAAACGTGAGGGTTTGAGGTAAAGCAAAGCTCAATTTGTTAACAGGAAACTATGGGCTCTGCACGTCTATTTATATAAACATTTGCTTTTTCCGCCTTGGGTTCTGCCCAGAAGTGGTTGTCTGACTGCTACTTATGGCTCTACTTGACTGGTTTAAAAAAAAAAAAAAAAACTCTGAAAACTGTGGCCACCTGTTCCTCTCTCCACCAGAGAAACTAAACATGTCACTTTCCCTGATGTTTGGTTAGTGAAAATGCTTAAAGATGCCAAGACGTCAACTGTTTTTTTGTTTTTTGTACTGGGGATTAAACCCAGAGGGACTTTTCCACTAAAGTAAATTCCCCAGCTTCCCCCTCCTTTTTTAATTTTTTAGAATTTTGAGAGAGTGTCCCTGAGTTGCTTAGGGCCTCATTAAATTGCTGAGGCTGGTCTTGAACTTTCAATCCTCCTGCCTTAGCCTCCCAAGTTGCTGGGATTTCAGGCGTGCACCACTGCACCTGGCTCCAGGATGTCAATTTTATTGAAGTGTTGTACCTTCTTTGAGTTCACAAAACCATGAGGGTTGTCCTGCCTCTCTTCTGCTGTGCTCCTGATATCTTTCCATTTCACCCTATATTTGCAGATTTGAAAATTCCCACTAACTCATTTCCTGGTTCTCTTCCCCTGGTGCCAACCTATCATCGTGCTCTCAAGATTCTTTGGTCTGTTGCTCTCCATCTTCTGATCTGTCCACTGTGTTACAGTTACTTCAGTACAAAAGGAAGAGGAACCTTAGAGTTCACAAGTTGCTTGCACCTTCCAACCAGGGGTACAGTATTTGGTTTAGCATACATCTTTTGCCACAAACACCCTAAAGTAGGGAGGAGCTTGTGGCTAGCAACATACACTGCTTGATGTCATCAAAATAAAATCTAGAGGTGGGGAAACCAGCTGGGGTTTGCACCATCTGCTTGTGAGTCAAAAGAATACTAAGAGAAAGTGTGCATAGAAAACTCTAGTGAGTAGAGTTCACACTTGAATTTCCAGAATTTGTTAATTTGAAGAGAAAGGATAATTTTCTTGACTAAGAAGCATGAAATATGGGAAAAATTAGACTCAGAGTAGAATCAACTCAATTTTATTTTATTGATTGATTGATTGATTCTTGTGGTGTTGGGGATCAAACCAACACCATGTTGTCATGTTAGACAAGCACTCTATCACTAAGCTACATCCCCAACCCTTTTTATTTTTATTTTGAGACAAGGTTCACTTAGTTACTGGGCTCGTCTGGAGCTCATGATCCTCCTGTCTCAGTTTCCTACATAGCTGGGATTACAGGTGTGCAACCCTGTGTCCACTGTGAATCAACTCAATTTGGGAAGAGAAAGTTAAAGATGAACCTTCTGGGCAGACAGATGAGGTTGCTATCTATTCAGGATACCAAGAAAGCATCCAAACTCTAATGGATGTTTTACTAAATTGTTTAATTCTAATATTAAAGATCCATTAATTTGGTTTACATAGTTGTTTTTCATTAAGACATAAATTCCAGGGCTGGGGGATATAGTTCAGTGGTAGAGCATTTGGCTAGCATGTGTAAGGCCCTGGGTTCAATCCCCAGCACCACAAAAAAAGGTGGGTAGAGAACATTAGAACAACAAGGAATGGCAAAACTTCGGAATTTACACAAAAGAGAAATGAGAGTAAGTAATGAAACTTCAACTACCAAGATTGTTGGGCCTGATAAGAGCAGAAAAGCAAAACGGGGACACATCTGGAGGAGACTAAATAAATTTGGATTTTTGGAGAACCATTGGTAAAGTTATGGAGTAAAAGATAAAACAGAGAAGAGCAGAATAAAGAAAGTTGACTAATTTTGGTACTCAGTTTTCAAAGTGGGATAAAAGTGGACAAATTCAAGTATTTTTTGTGAACATTAAAGAGAAAAACAATAACCAAGCCAAAGACCACTTTATGCTGAGGGAAAAAAGATTGGATAAAATTTATTGTAAAAGATTTAATTTGCAATAGACAAATACTGGGATTGAGGTGCTCACTGGTGGGAATGTCACCTATCATTTATCATGAAGTAGGAATGTCAAGTACATGAAGAGATTCTTTTCTTTTTGGTATTTTCCCAGATCCCAAACATAAACTGAACTTTTGAATGTCTTCGAATCTAAATATTAGTATTCTTAGCATTAACTATTATTTTAATTGTACAACTTTATAAGGTACAATGTGAATTTTTTATACATGTATACAGTATGCAAAAGTCATATCAGAGTAGTTAACATTTCCATTTCCTTGAGCATTTAAACATTTTTATTAACACATAATCATTGTACATATTTATGAGGTACGTGTGATATTTCAGTACATATATACAATAAGCATTGATCAAATGGGATAACTAACCTTTCCATCTCCTTATCATTATTTTGAATTTGCAGTCTCATGAAGAGATTTTGGGTTTGTTTGATTAATTGATTGTGGTGCTAAGGATTGAATCCAGGGCTTCCATTAATGTTAGGTAAGGACTACCACTGAGCTACAACCCTAGCCCTATGAAGAGATTCTTAAGATGATTTTTATAAACTCTATGCCCAGGAGGTTTCTTTGTAGTGACTACAATATACACTTACTATGTCTGTCTGGACAAGGACACTTTAATTCTAGAGACTATGGTGGAATAGAGATTGCATACCTTGAGGTTTTCTTACACTTCTCTTCGATAAGGTGTACAAATCCCATTAAACTAAATTGTTTCTTAACAGCAAGAATCCAACCCTCATTTAGCTAGTTTTCTTGACACTATGAAGGGAATCCAACCCCTAGTGTCATATGTAACAACTTCTCCCCTAATTCCTATTTGAATTCCATTGATTTTTCTAGAAAGTTATTTAGTTATTCAGACCCAAGGGTTCACAATATATAGTTTGTCACTTATTAGAATGGAATTTGAGGAGCCTGGAGGTATAGCTCAGTGGTAGAGCACTTGTCTAACAACATGCTTGGGGCCATGGGTTTAATCTCTAGCACAGGGGTAGGAGGGTAGGATTTGATTGTATTGCATTGTGTACTACTGTCAATATTTAGGATAAAGCAGACATGCTTGTAAATTAAACTGCATCTAGACTTTGAAAAATATAAATAATGCAGTTATGTCAGAAAATCATAGAACTAATGCCTAAGAACTAACAGAAATTCAGCCTTCTTATTTTAAAGTGAGGAAATTAGACCAGAACCTAATGAAGGAAAATGACTTATCTAAAGATTCATCCTACTCCTAAGGCCAGGACAAGAAATTGTGTTTCTTTCATTTTAAACTTTAGGTTAAGCTTTCTGCCTATTAAAATTCATATCTGACCCCAGTGCGATGGCACAAGCCTGTAATCCCCGTGACTTTGGGAGGCTGAGGCAGGAGGATAGCAAGTTTGAGACCAGCTTCAGCAACTAAGCAAGGTCCTCATCCACTTACAAAGACCTTGTCTCAAAATGAAGAGTTGGGTATATAGCTAAATGGCAAAGCATTCCTGGTTCAATAACTAGCACACAAAAAAATTCAGATATGAATGTTCTTCTTAGGCTCGAAGCCAGGATATTCTAGAATTTCCTTTTGCACAATAAGCTCTATTTTTGCACTTGGTGTTAAGGATGAAAGAAGTAGCACAACTCAAGGAAACTCAGGTCAATGGTATGGTTTCACATTAAGTTGTCTAGTTTGCTTTGTGTAAGCAAGCTAACCCCAGTACTATCACAAATGAATAAGGAAACACATTTTTCAACACTACTCCTTGACTGAACAACTGGATGAAAAAATTGAATACAGAATTATAAGTCCAAGTTCTGTAACTGGCACAATCTTCTCTTTTAACCCCAGACTCTGCACTTAGCAGAAGATAACATTTTGGGTCTTTCTGTATTGGTATTAGAATTATATATATGATTTTTGGTTCTGTTGGGAGAATCTTGAGTCTACAAAATTCTAGGACTTTCAGAACTACAAAAATTACCATGATCTTTTTCACCAAGAAGACCTGACAGGCAAAATTAGGACAATCCAGGCAAAATAGTAAAAATGAGTAAAGAGAAATATGTAAATGATGATGAGGTCTTGGAAGGAAAATAAATGAAGTTCTATGGTTAGCCAAAGTAGACAAAGATGGCTTCTTCTACCCTAAGGTCTATTTCCAACAGATCTAATAATTGAGATTATTAACATACAGGCTGGGCCTGGAGCTTAATGGTAAAGCACTTGCCCAGTATTTGAGAGGCCCTGGGTTCGATAGCCAGCATTACACACACACGCACACACACAAATACACATGCACACACAGAGATTATTATTACTATTTATTTTATTTTTTGCAGTTCTGGGAATCAAACTCGAGACCTTGCGCATGCTAAGCAAGCTCTGCCACTGAGCTACATCCCCAGTCCTTCCAAATAGATCATTAACCTAAAGTTTATTCTTTCCAGAATTGTATATAGAATGTTTGAATATAAGTCATGTTTATCTACTATGCCTATGATATTGGGAAGCAACAAAACTGCAATAATACAGGTATTGTGTTTTAAGTACTGAAAAATGAGATAAATGTTATCGGTCTTGGTCAAAAATTAGGGAGTAGGGGCAAAAGCTGGATATTGCAAAGGGACAGGTTTAAGAAATTCTCATGTCTATGGGTTAGCTGACAGTGGTGTAGAAGACGAAATTCCCCCTTCCTCTCATCCACACATTCTTTCTTCTTTCTTCTTCCTTGATGATCACAGACCATTGAGTCTCTGCAAATTCACATCTTCACAGGGAGGAAGTCGGAAGTAGTTGGAGCGGCGGAGTCGCCTTGGGGGCAGACCTGCCATCTGACGGCAAAGTTCATCTAGAGGAGAAGCAGAGAGTGAGAGGAGAATTCTGGAAGATAACAAGGCTTCTTGTTTTAAGGGAAAGAAAAGGCTGTGCAATGAGATGTAGTAAAAAATGTTGAAGAGAAAAAGACCTGGTGGGTTGAAGCCTCTGCCACTTACTGGTTATTTATCACTTACTAGAAAGTTCCTTAACTTATGAACCTCAGTATTCTTTTTGTAAAATGAGCATTAAAATACCTATCTTAACAGCTTGTGTTAAAATGAAATAAGGTATGCAAAGTACCCAGCACCCCAGTAAATGTTAGTTTCTTTTATATGCCCAGCTCCCAATTCTAGTCATGGATCGAGTAAGTAGGAAAATGAGGTCCAATCATTCATTCCACTTTTAGGTGTTTACTATGTGCAAATAGCTAACTTTAGTTACTCCCCTGAGATACTTGAAAGTGCCTAGAGTCCCAAATACTCATCCTCAATCTCAAGGTGCTTCCCTTGCAGGTGGCTTGCACAAAGCCAATGGGGGCAAGCAGCAAGTTTCCTTCAGCAAAGTTAACTACAGCTCTTACTCAAGAACTCAGTGCAGAGCAGGCTGCTGAGTCAGAAGTGCTGTGTCTGTGGTGTTGTCACCAACCACAGCCATCATTTGGGGCTGTCCATGGGGAAGGTGAGAAGTATGTTTACTCTCACCAAGCATGGTCTAAAACCACACATTTAGGACCCTTGTAAAATTGTTTTTATAACATCTTTCTGCCTTTCTCTACTTCTTAAATTTCTCGATAAGCAATGTAAATGGTTCCTGGAATTGGTGAACTGTTTATAAGATAGCCAATTTCTTAATCTTCCTTTTTCTGGGGGGTACTAGGGATTGGACACAGTGATGCTTAACCACTGAACCACACCTCCAGTCCTTTATTTATTTATTTATATTTTTTGGTACCAGGGATTGAACTCAGGGGCATTTGAACTCAGGAGCACTTGACCACTGAGCCACATCACCAGTCCTATTTTGTATTTTATTTAGAGACAATGTCTGAGTTGCTTAGCACCTTGCTTTTTGATGAAGCTGGCTTTGAACTCATAATTCTCCTGTCTCAGCCTTCCAAGACGCTGGGATTACAGGCGAGTGCCACCACTTCCAGTCCTTTTTATTTTTTGAGACAGGCTTTCACTAAGTTGCTGAGACTGGCTTTGAACTTTCGATCCTCCTGCCTCAGCCTCCCCAGCTGCTGGAATCACAGATGTGCAGCATCATGCTATCTGTTTTATATACCCTATCCAAACCTTACTGTCTCCACACTAGTGTGTGTGTATGTGTGTATGTGTGTTTTCCTTAAAGAGCTATGAACTTGGCCATTGACTAGATGAGCATATTATCTGTGATTGCTGAATTGGCCCTTTCCCTAGAACCCCAGTGGTTGACCTTTAAAACAGAGCTTTAAAAAACTGTCTATATAAGAGAAACTGGGGGGACTGCCATTTAGATGGGAAAGGATCTAGGTGTACTTTTGTAGGTCTGTATTTGTATTAAGCACACTGCTTTACTTAGATTGTTTATTTGGGGAAACTTCTATTAGGGGCTGATAAAAGCTAAAGCCTAGGGCCAGAGTCCTCCTCCAAACCAATCCTTGGATCTTGGATCATGATCCTACTTACCTCTCTCATAATCATTCGTCCCCATTAAACATCCAGATGTCAACTTACCTTTCATAACTTCATGTTCCTTACAAACAAGACGGGAGCAGATCTCATTGTTGATGATGTACATACGTCGTAAACTGCAACATCCAGTATCATGGTCAAGGAAAGAGATAGAAAAAAGTCTTGAGGGGAAGAACTAACTTTGGCCTAGGCTGCTCTTCAACTCTGTAGTTCCCACTTTCCCCTGTCTAGCCTCCCCCATCTACATTTCCTTAGGTATTTCAGATGACTACTTTTTTTTTAACCCCTCAGAAGAATGCAGGTAATGGAATGATATTAATTTTCTTTCTTTCCTTCCTACTTTACTTTTCTTTCCCGTACTGGGAATTGAATCCAGGGGTACTCCAACACTGAGCTACATTCCCACTTCTTTTTAATTTTTACTTTGAGACAGGGTCTGGCTAAGTTGCCAGACCTGAACTTGGAATGATCCTGATCCAGCCTCCCCAGTAGCTGTGATTACAGGCACCACTGCAACAGGCTAATTCCTCTTCCTACTGACACTTTCCACCTAGAGTCAAGTCCTCTGCTCCTTTCCATTTTCTACCTTCATATCTAAGTCTTTTGCTTTAGCATCTTTCAATCAGGTAATAAATCCAACATGCCAGTGTTTCCTTTATGACCCTCTTTTTCTTCCGCTTTCACCTTCACTTATCTTCTGATATCTATTAGTCGGCCTATCCTTGTATACCTCAACCCAGAGGTCCAGCCAGCACCTTCAGGAATAGCTAGAAGAGTTATGCTAAAAACACCTGCCCTATCAAATGATGCAATTCCTTAGTGAGTACTTATTAAATAGTTACTGACACAAAAATACTACCATGGAAGCTGCTGTCTGGGCATTCTGGGTTCCTTTACCTGGTGAAGCAGACCTGATGAACGCATTGCTTGACTGGTCGATGGACAGAGTAGAGTCTTGTACAAGCAAATTTCTCATCCCGGCACTCTGAAGAGATCCAACACACACAAAAAATAGGGAGGTCCAAATAGAAATAGTATAAATGAAGGATTAAAGAGCTGAGGAAGAATATAGAATAGGGAAAAAATACAGAGTAGTTTCTATAGAGGATCATTATAAATCAGGGGCTATCCTTCCTGATTACCAAAAGCAGAGCAAAAGGAAACTGACTAAAATGAAATTTAGGTGCTTCCCTACCTCAAAGAAGAGGTGGATAAAATAATTTCTGAGAACTATTCTAAGAAAAAATGTCTTTTTCTAGCCCTCTAATTTAATAAGTGGTCCATACAAAAATAGAGAAATAAAATCCTCTAAGGGAAAGTTTTTATAAAAAGAAGACTTTTTTAGGATTATCTATGTAGCAATATGAAATATTAAACTGAAATGTTGATGATCTCATTCTGAAGAATGAGAATTCTTAATTCAAGAATTAAAGTCATTGTATCTCTGTTCTAGCTGATGTCAACCCTAGTTGTAGAAGAGACTTATCAAGAAATTAAGGAAAGCACTTTTCTTTTTTGCACTACTGGGGCTCAAACCCAGGGCTTCATGCTAGGCAAGTGCTCTACCACTGAGTTACGTGCCCCCCCTTTTTTAACATTTTTAAAAATTTTAGACAAGATCTCCCTAAATTTCCAAGGCTGGCCTTAAACTGTGATCCTCCTACTCAGCCTCCCAAGTCCCTGGGATTATAGGCAAGCACAGCTAGGCCCATCTACGGAAAGCAATTTTAACCATGAAGTCTATGGTAAATTGACAAATTGATTTTATTTCCCAATCCATTAATCACTAAATAAAGTCCAAAGGTAATGTACAGAAAGAGTGGTGCCGCAGTCTGGCTGGGCACAATCAGAAGCCACTTGTCAAAAGAAACTAACTTTATTTTTAGAACCAAACACGCCAAACAAAACAGCCTCTCAGGAAAAATCCTCAGAGCCTCAACTGCCACCACCGGCTTTCCACAAGCCTCTCTCTCCCCCCACAAGCTTCTTTCCACCTCCCACAATCCTCCTGCTCTTGAGGCCGATTGGCTGGGTCACGTGGGCGGAGCCAAAAAAGTCCCCCAATGAGCAGCTCCGTGGTCTGAAAGGGCAGGGAAACAGTCCAATGAGCATCACCGCAGAGGAGCCAATCAGCTAGATGTTGCTGGGGCCGAGGAGCCAATCAGCTAGATGTTGCTGGGGCCGCTGTGAGCCAATCATCAGCCGGCAGCTGGATTGCTGGCAGCTGGAAGTTTGCTGGGGCCCCTTCGGCTGTGGCTCTCAACAGAGTGGTTTTGGGACCATTCAACAGCAGTCTCTTCTTTGTGACTTTTAGGACAGGAATTCATTTTGAAAATAAGTACATAAAAGCTGAGTTAATAAAGGGGGGATGGAGTGAAGAGCACTAAAAATATTCTTTGAGGAAGAATTGGAATTAAGCAAGTACTTGTACTCTCCAAAAAACAAGAAAGAAAGGAATCCATAGAAAGAAAAAGAGCTTCAGAAAAAAATTTAAAAACATGCAAGAAATGATCATACCTGTGGTGGTATTTTTATCACTGGGCGAGGCTGGAAGGCAGAAACTTTATTTAGTCATTACCATTTCTAGAAGTCAGGACTTCTGTAACTGTCATGCTGCCTCTCTTGGAACCCACTTGGAATACTCATAAATAGGGAACAAATGAGTTAATAAACCTTTTTTCCCTCCCTGGTACTGGGTTTGGAACTCAGGGGGCACTCTACCACTGAGCTATATCTCCTGCACTTTTAAAATTGTTCTTTGAGGGTATATAGCTCAGTTGGTAGAGTGCTGACCTTGCATGCATAAGGCCCTGGGTTTGATCCCCAACACCACAAACAAACAAACTAATTATACTTTGAGACAGGGTGTGGCTGAATTGCCCAGCATGGCCTCCAACTTGAGATTCTCCTGCTTAGTCCTTCCACTATTGGGATCACAGGTGTGTGCCACCTCATCCACAAGTTAATAACTCTTAGCAACTTCTGAAAGAAAACCCCTGTTGGGCTGCTTTGATCCACATGATGGAAGAGATTTAGGAAATAAATTGAAATTATGCCTTTCCCCTTTCTCTTCTGGAGAGTTGAGAATTTCATTTTATATATATATATATATATATATATATATATATATACACACACACACACACACACACACACATATATATATATAGTTTTTTAAATGGAGGAGTGTTCACTATGTTGAATAGGCTGGCCTCAAACCCTTGAGGTCAAGGGATCCTTCTGCCTCAGTTTCCCCATTGGCTAGAACTATACGTGCACACCACCATATCTAGAGATAAGAGACAAATTTTGTAGGAGCGCAAGGCAAAGAGCCATATCCCCAGAAGTGCTTTAACTTAGAGCTAAGGAGAAAGCATATTATCCTGTAGAAGCTCCTCCTCATTCTTATGTCTATTTTTTATAGATTAAAGACATTATCATGGATTCTTTGATAAAAGCTGTTTGGATAAAAAATAGCAAAGGTTGTATTTATAGCCAAACCTGTCCTGGTGCAAGCTTGATACAGGCTAGTTTTCAGAATGGACAACAGGTCAAGGACTTAGATGTGGTTGAGGGGATACGCTATTCAGGGAGCTTTTGGGGAAAAAATGTCCTTCCCCACCCCCCCTCTGGTACCAGGGATTGAATCCAGGGGTACTTAACCACTGAGCCACATCCCCACCCTTTTTACTTTTTATTTTGAGACAGGGTCTTGATAAATTATTTAGGGACTAGCTAAATTGCTGAGGCTGTCCTGGAACTTGTGATACTCCTGTCTCAGTCCCCTGAGTGCTGAGATTACAGGCATGCACCACCATGTATCCTTTCTATTTAACTCTCCCAAAGACTTTTCCCACAGGGCATGATGGCCCAGGCCTATAATCCCAGAGATATAGGAGGCTAAGGCAGGAGACTGCAAGTTCCAGGACAGCCTTAGCAATTTAGTGAGACCTTGTCTCCAAACAAAAAAAATAAATAAAAATGGGATGTAGCTCAGTAGTAAAGTGCCCCTGGATTCAATCCTTACTATTAAAAAAAAAAAAAAAAATCAGAGAGAGAGATTGACTAGGATGTGTGATAGCTGATATCATTTACCCCAAGGTTAAAGCAGGTCTGTGCTGATAATTTCAAACTCTGTTTCTAGCCCAGATCTCACTCTTAAACCCCAAATCTACAGATTCAATCACCATTTTATGGAAGTGTTACTGAATTTTTTAAAGATTCTTCAAATTCAACATATCTTAAACTCACTTATTATCTTTTCCTTCTCCAATTTGAGTTGTTTTTCATAATGGTACCACCAACCACTCAATAACCACATTTAGAAAACTGAACATCATTTTAACCATCCTCTTTTCCAGAATGGGAATGTAGCTTAATGGTGGAAGTTTTGCTTACTCTCCAAGACCAAAAAGGAAAAAAACAAACAAACAAATAAAAACAACTATCTTCTATCTCCTTTTCTTACTACCTACCACTTGTTCCTTGCCCCTCATCATTTAAAAAACTCAGTTTCCACCCTCCCTGTGGTGGCCCACACCTGTAATCCCAGCTTTTCAGGAAGCTAAAACAGGACAATCACAAATTCAAGTCCAGCCTGGACAATTTAGTGAGCCTCCCTTCTCAAAATAAAAAATAAAAAGGGATGAGGATTTAGCTCAGTGGTAGAGCACCCTGGGCTCAATCGCCAGTGTGGCAAACAAATAAACAAAAATCTTCAGTTTCCCTCATGTACTAAACTCTACTGTGTTTTTCTTTTCTCAGTCTCTTTTTTCCTAGGGATTGAACCCAGGACCTCATGTGCTAGGCAAGTCATCCACCACTAAGCAACACCCACAGCTCTGGTGTTTTTTGTTTGTTTGTTTTTGAGACAGGATCTTGCTGTGTTACCCAGGTTGGCCTCCAATTCCTGTGCTCAAACAATGCTCCAGCTTCATTTTTTGTTTTTTGAAGAGGACTTGGTGGGAAGTAAAGAGGATTGACCCCAGGGATGCTCTATACAGAGCTACACGTCCAGCCCTTTTTATTTTGGGATAATGTCTCATTAATGAGTCTGACCTTGAACTTGTGATCTTCTTGCTTCAAACTCCAAAGTCTCCTACATAACATGCCACTGCAGCTGGCCTGCCTCAACCTTTTGAATAGCTAGGAACGAAGCCTGGCAGCACCACACCTGATTTAAAGTCCATTTTGTTTTCACATCTTAGAACATGTTGTTGGTACCCCTCATTGGAAGGACACCTCCTTGACTGTTTTATCTTGTTCCAATTCTTCTTTCAAGGTTTAGTTCAAGCCAGATGTGATGTCATAGACCTCTAATCCAGCAGTTAGGTAGGCTGAGGCAGGAGGATCATTAGTTCAAAGCCAGCCTCAGCTATTTAGGGAGGCCCTAAGTGACTTTGCAAGATTCTGTCTCAAAATAAAATATAAAAAGGCCTGGGAATGTGGATCAGTGATTAAATGCCCCTGGGTTCAATCCCTGGTACCAAAAAAAAAAAGGGGGGGGGGAGGGTTTCAAGGATTCCTTCTAGAAAACTTCATTTATCCTCCCAAAAGTTTGTTTCTATATTTGTCTCTTGTCTCACTTAGCCTTGGAAACTTTGAGAGAAAGATCACATCTTGGTACTTTGTATAGCCAACAGCAGTTTCTGCTCATTATGGGTTCAAAATGTCATTAATTTAAATTGGCCTAATGGAAGAACATGCTACATATGCTGTCATATATTTAGGATCCTTCAGCAGCTGCACTGCCTCCCATAATGGGCTCTAGGGAAAATCCAGAATGGCCCTCAAGGCCCTGGGATCCCAGATCTGAACTCACCCAGTTCATCTGTGGAAGGCTCCATATCAGCCAGAACTGAAAAGGCACAAAACAGCAGGTGTGAGGAGGGCTTTGAAATGCAAGGGGTAAGGGAGAGTAGGAAAAGGAAGAACAGAGGGCAAGGTCAGGACTACTGCTGCCTTTGTGTATGATGTCCAAGGGAATAGAATTTATAAAGTTAATTGGGAATATTGCTCATGTTGACATTATATTAATTTTTGAATGCTTGTATTATTATCTAAGCCTTATTTAGCTATTAGTTCACTTTGTTCCACTTTTTAAAGGACTATCGACCTCTCTTATCCCATGGTCACTGAACAACACTCCCACAACCCCTTTATTTAGAGCTTAAAATGTAGCATTAATTCAAGAATTCAAGATCCGTTCAAGATCTGGAATATTTTTAACAACATCATGAATCAGAGCTTTCTTTCTCTTCTTCTTCTTTTGGTACTGGGGACTGGACCCAGGTGCTTTACCACAAAGCAGCATCCCCAGTCTTTTGTGTTGTTGTTGTTAAGGGTCTAAGTTGGTAAGGCTGATCTCAAACTTTCTATCCTCCTGCCTCAGCCTCCGTAGTAGCTAGGATTACAGGCATGTGGGATTACACTCCTGGCAGATCATGCCTTTTTTAAGAACTTCAGTGAAACTTACCAGTTTCATCTGTTGAAGGTTCATTCACCAGATCTGCAAAGGTACAAAACAGGGAATGAAAAATGCAGGTGAAAAAAGTATCTACCAGAAGCAGGATAAAGGGGATGATTATCTAAAAGGTGATGAGAAGGATAAAAATGAGGGCATGTGGACTCTTGGGTAAAGAAAGAAATGGAAGAGGTAATAAGACTGAATATTTTTACTGCAATGGTGGCTTCTAAGATAGGCAAGAGCCAGGCACAGTGGTGTATACCTGTAATCCCAGCAGCTTGAGAAGCTGAGGCAGGAGAATTGTGAGAGGCTGAGGCAGGATGATTGTGAGTTCAAAAGCCAGCCTCAGCAACAGTGAGGAGCTAAGCAACTCAACTCAGTGAGACCCTGTCTCTAAATAAAATACAAAATAGGGCTGGGGCTAGGGGCTCAATTGATGAGTACCCCTGGGTTCAATCTGGGCACCAAAAAAAAAAAAAAAAAAGACAAGAGAACTCTGGTCTGGGTGAGCACACAATGCCCACCAAGTTTTTTGTTTGTTTTTGTTTTTGTTTATTTGTTTTTTGGTCAGACATTATCCTCAATCCTTGTATTCCCAATATGATAGCAAGAAAGTTACAACAAAACAAAACAAAAAAACAAAACAAAACCAACCAAAACAAAAAAACAAAACGAACCAAAACAAAAAAACAGTGGGGGTGGATAGCTTACTGGGATCTTCTGTGAATGTTTCTGGAGTCACATCATCTGAAAGAAAATCAGAAAACATTTTCTGAGCACTCTCTGGCCCCCTCTACATTTGCACTTCCAATAAATGACATTATCAAGCACAACACCAGTACATGGTTAAGTATCCCCCAAATTGTTTTTCTTTATCTGCCTATAATAATTACAATGGATTGATGATCTCTTTGCTAAGCACAAATTCTACCACTAAGCTATACCTCCAGCCCAACATTTATAATTTTGATATGAATTTGCTGATAATGCTATTATACAGAGTGCCTACAAAAGGTGATGGTGATGATTTTCTGATGCTCAGAAATGAGAGAGGGGGTGGGGGATGCCAATGTTAGTAGACAACTCTTTGCATTTGATCATCGGAAAATTAAAGGCAGGAAGAGAGGAAATAAAAATGGTCCAGATCTTTGGGTGGATTCTATTAGGAAATACTGAGAAAACTATATCTGGGATTTTAAATAATAGTGCTTTTAAAAACAAATTGTCTTTTCTATTATTCTTATTATTTGGTGTTGTAGATTGAACATAGAGCCTTGTACATGCTAAATACATATTTTACCTCTGAACTATGTTCTTAGCCTACTGTCTTTACATTAAAAGCAAAAAAACAAAAAACAGCAACCAAAAAAGCAGTTCTAATGTTTCATTTTAAAAAAAAAAAGATCTTTTTTTATATGGACACAATATTTATTTTCATGTGGTGCTGAGGATCGAACCCAGTGCCTCATATGTGCAAGGCAATGTTCATTTGTCTCATTTTTAAATTAACTTTCTTCTTCCTTTTTTCTGGGAATAAATCCAAAGGTGTTCTATCACTGAGCAACATCCCCAGCCCTTTTTACTTTTTATTTTGAGACAGAAGATCTCGCCAAGTTGCAGAGGCTGGCCTCACCTGAACTTTCAATCTTTCTGCTTCAGTCTCCTGAGTAGCTGGGATTATAAGCATGGACCACCATGCCCAATTTAAGATTTTCATTTATTATCATTCATGCTAGACAAGGGCTCTACCACGAACCATACCCCAAGCCCAACATTTTGCTTTTTTTTAGATGTCAATGGACCTTTATTTTTTATTTATATGTGGTGATGAGATTTAAACCCAGTGCCTCACACATGCTAGGCAAGCACTCTACCACTGAGCCCCAATCCAGCCCTTTGCTTTGTTTTTAAATGTATATATTTGTATTAAGTGTACAAATTATGTGTTTTTAATACATTTATTTATTTATTATGTGGTGCTGAGGATGGAACTCAGTGCCTCACATGTGCCAGGTAAGTACTCTACCATTGAGCCCCAGCCCCAGCCCCACAATGTTTTTGATATATATTCACAAAGTGAAATAATACTACAGTCAAGCAAATTAATTATGTCTATATTCTTACATAGTTACTGTGTAGGTGTGTATGTGGTGGGGAGAGAGAGGGAGAAGAGAGCATCTAAAATCTGCCATCTTGGCAAATAACTTTTTTTTTTTTAAAGCAGATACCACATTTTTTATACCTTTATTTTATTTAGCCATTTTTACGTCGTGCCGAGGATCAAACCCAATGCCTAGAACATGCTAGACAAGCGCTCTACCACTGCTCTGAGCCACAATCCCAGCCCTTGGCAAATAACTTTTAAATACTGTATTTAGCAAATGTTCCATCTGGAATTGATTGACTAGTTCATAGTCATAATCTATTCTGTCCACTAGAGGTCAGCAAATTCACAAAGTTTGCTTTGACTTTTTAATTTAATTTAATTTTTTTTTTTTTTTTTGGTACTGGGGATTGCACCCAGGGAAGATTTCCCATTGACCTACATCCCCAGTTCTTTTTAGTTTCTTATTTTAAGACCAGGGTCTCACGGTTGCCCAGGCTGGCCTTGAATTTGCAATCCTCCTGTCTCAGGCTTGGGAGTGTCTAGGATTATAGGCATACACCACCATATCCAGAAGAATCAATGTGTTTTTTTGTTGTTGTTGTTGTTTGTTTGTTTTAACAAAGCACGTCAGAGTTATTGATAATTATAAGGATGAAAAATACAAATAAAGCATTTCGTAAGCATTTCTTCTGGTTATCTCATTCTTTTTTTCTGTAAACTCCAGATAAAACAGATAGAAATTCATCCGATCTGATAAGCATCTTTTTTTGTGCCTGTTGCTAAGTATTGAACAGGATCTCTCATAAGCTAGGCAAGCACTCTATCCCTGAGCTACACCCTCAGCCGTGAGCCTTGTTAACATTCAGAAAAAGCTTTCTTCTTTCAGAACAAATTTTGATAAAAGGAATCCGTGTCTGTTCCAATAATACAGGATTTTTTCTTTTCTTTTTTTCGTCTTGGTACTAGGGATTTATCCCAGAGGCTCTCTACCACAGAGCTCCATCCCCAGTCCTTTTTATTTTTTATTTTGAGACAGGGTCTTGCTAAATTGCTGAGACTAGACTGTCCTCAAACTTGCATCCTCCTGCCTCAATCTATCCAGTTTCTTGGATTATATGTATGCACCACTGGGCCCAGCTATCACAGGATATTTGAAATATTATCACTAACCCACATCATTCTAGAGATTATGAGAGGCAGATGGAGCCTCTCAAAGGTGGAGCCCAGTTTCAACCCACTTTCTCCCTTTCTCCAGAGGCTTCTCTACATTCCAGTCCAGACACACACATAAACAGAGTGAAGCCACCGGAGGGAAGAGTTTAAGAGCATGGTCTGTCCTTTGGTTTTCAGGGCAGAGTACTGCTTTTCTGTATTTATTGCAGTTAAACCAACTTTTTCATGAGCTACCACTGTGAAATCCTTACTCTAGGTTTCATGAAGTTCTCTGAAAAGGAATCCTTAGAAATTTTCATCATAACTTATACTTTTTATGTTAGAAAAGAATCCTAAAGTCATAAGACAGGACTGGTCCTTATCACCCTAGAGAAATCGACTCAGAGTTTTAATTTTACTAGTGCTATCTCATTCAAAAACTTAGCGACTCAGATATTTTTACCAATAAAAGGAAAAAAGTTTATTTCTATATTTTTATCTTCAGTACCAGTACTTTCAGCAAGAAATATATATTATATGGGCCCTGTATACAAAAATGTAAACCTGAAACAACTTTTGTAAAATAATGCTTTACTCTTACAAAACACAAATAATAAATTCTGATACATTTAGTTTACCTTAAGTTGTTAAAAAAAATACCAGTTGTGACCCACTAAATTGATTTTATGACTCATTGGTAGACTATATATTTCAGTGTTCTATTCTCTAGCCCTCATGGGCTGGGAAAAATAAGGTGATAAATTAGAATCATGTCAAAAGCTTTGAGGCAGGGTGGAGTTTCCTTAATCAGATTGAAGGAAGAGTCCTTTAGGAACCAAAACTTTTGAGTCCTGTCCAGTTGTGCCACATTTTCACCATAGAACTGCAAAGACTTCTTGCCCTGTTTTTGCATTTTAGTTTTTCCACTATTATGTGGATAGAATAATGCTTTCTGGGGGCTGTGGGTGTAGCTCAGTGATAGAATGCTCATGTAGCAGGCTCAAGGCTCTGATTCAATTCCCAGTGCCACATAAATAAATAAATATCCTCCCCAAATTATAAACAAACAAACAAACAAAAAGTAACAAACAAAAAAGTAGACCTAGGGATGTAGGTCAGTGCTAGAGCACTTGTCTAGCATGTATAAGGACCTGGGTTCAATCCCCAGCTCTGGAAAATAAAAAAGAGAATGTTTTCTTGCTGGGCCTGGTGTCACAGAACTGTAATCCTAGTGACTCAGGAGGCTAAGGCAGGAGGATTGAGTTCAAGATCAGCCTCAGCAATTTCATGACGCCCTAAGCAATTTAGTGAGATCCTGTCTTAAAATAAAAAAAATTAATCGTTAAGTTCCAGGCCAGCCTCAGCAATTTAGCAAGACCCTGTTTCAAAAAATAAAATCAAATAAATAAATAATGAAAAGGGCTGGGATGTAGCTCAATGGTAAAGCACCCTGGATTCAACCCTCAGAGCAAAAAATAAAATAAAATAAATAATAATAATAATGTTTTCCACAAGGATTGAAGGGTAATGAGTACTTTCTTGAGTTAGATAAGAGATCTGTAGAGGAGAGTGGAAAGGAAAGAGAAGAGATGGGCATAGAAAAGTTATTGGGAAAGATGTTTCAGTAGTGGGAAAAAATAAGGTTTTTATGAATAAGATTATAAGATTGTGGAAGTTGGTGAATTAGATCCTGTTTCTTATGCCTTGGCAATGCATTTTTCCCCCCCAGGACAGATTCTTTTTTTTTTTTTTTTTTTTCCTGGTACTGGGGATTGAACCCAGGGGTTCTTAACCACTTAGCCACATACCCAGCCCTTTTATTTTTTATTTTGAGACAAGGTCTCACTAACTTGCTTAGGACCTCGCTAAATTGCTGAGGCTGACTTTGACCTTGCGATCCTCCTGCCTCAGTCTCCTGAGCTGCTGGGATTACATCAGATTCTTTAACTGTTCATCTATATTATCCTGATAAAAACCCCAATACAGCCCATATTCAAGGCTTCACCTACCTCCTCGTTGACCATCGACCCCCAGAGTTATCCATTCTGCAGGAAGGAAGAAGAAAGGAGATATGAATGACTCCCACTGTATGCCCCATAAGGCTTTCATGAAGTGAACCAGAACACGATGTAGAAATGGTTGAGTATGATCTTTAATTTATTCCCATAAGCTCAACACAAAATTGCTCAGACTACTAGTGCTATGCACAAAACTTATAGAAATAGAAACAATCTAGAAAGGCAAGTTCCTGAGAAAATGCCCTGAATCAGAATGTTCTCTTTTCTTCATGCCCAGCCAGGAAGGGTTCTTTTGCACAAGGGGGTCCAGCAGCCTTTCTAGCCCCACAGCCTTCCATTGGCACCCTATTGAACAAGGCAGAAAAATTACTTTCTCAGTCTCTATCTGGTAGAATAAGGGGGGGGAAATAGAATGGTATTTCTTTAAAGTCCAGGGTTACTTTTTGGGACCAATCATTTAGCTAGATTCTGCGAAAATCTGTGAAGATCGTTTTTTCTTTTGAGTGTAGGTGTCTATCTGTTTCTTGCATGCATGTGAATATATTTATATAACTGTTCATGCAGATGTTAGGTATCGGTGTATACATTCCCACCAGTTTTCTTCAGGATTTAAATCTTGTTCATTTTCTTATTATATAGTCTCTATACATTTGTGTATATATTTGTATATTAGCTTCTTTTTCTTCAGGTGTTTGTTTACTTGTATATTTGTGTGTGACTCCCTTTTAATGGTAATAAGCAAGTGTGTGCATCATAATTTCACCCTAGTTTCCTAGGTTCAGGCTATCTTTTCCCAGTGGAAGGTCTTCTCTGATCACATTCCTGCCCTTTCTAATTTGACACAAAATCTGTTGTTTCCTTCTCTTTAATTTAAAGCAGTTCTAGAACTCAATGTCAGGCATGTCTCCTCTCAATCCCCTTTAATCTTGGCCCATTCCACCTTCTAAAACACAGCTCCTCATATAGATAGAGCTAGGAAGCTGACATATTGGGGAGAGAAGAATAAAAATAGGGACTCACCAGATGTGATGATGAGTGCAGTGAGAAACAGCAGCGCTTTGGGGCCAAAGAGCAGCATATCTGGTGGGGTAGTGGGAAGAGTAGAGAGGGTGATGCTCAGGGACACACTGACATTTTGCCCCAGGAAAAGGTACCTCAGTAGCTGGTTTCTTGTCTTCCCAGGAGCTTTCTTGGTTTCTCTTTGACTCAAACCCTTTCTCTCTTTTATTATCTTTCCCACAACATTTATTTCTCCCTCAAATCTGATCTGTTCTTTGGTAATTTACTATTAGTCCCTCTTACTACTCTTTTCTACCAAATTAGCAGAATTTCTTTTTCTTTTTCTTTAAGACTAAGTCTCTCTACGTTGCCTAGTCTAGCCTCAAACTCCTGGGCTTAACCACTCCTCCTGCTTCAGCTTCCCAAGTAACTGGATTTGTAGATGCGCGACACTGCATCCAATTTTCAGAGGAATTTTTGTACTCTAAATAGTCCATTCTTTGCCAAACCCCATGGTCTTTTTCACCCCTAATATCTAAGCTTCTTTTTGTATATCTCTGTCTTCTTTGTGTCATCTGCTCATCCTGGTTACTCCTCTTTTTGGAATTCCATGATAATTTGGGAGTCTGCTCAATTCTAAGTTCAGCAGCATTCCCCACTTCCCCTCTACAGCCTTTCAGTACACACACACACACACACACACACATGCATACACACACAATGCACACACAATCCCTCTGTCTATACAGAGTTTTATAATGGAACAACTCACTGTCTATGGTGCTCCGCTCTCTGCTCTCTCCACTGAGTCCTTTGGCGGCTGTGTCTCTGTCCTCACACTGTTCTACTTTGGCTGGAGAGTAAGATGAACAGAGCCACGCCCTGGGAAGGACTTCAGATTTGGCCTAGTCTGAAACAATGAGATGAGGGAGAGGGAAAAGGAGAGAGAGAAAGCCAGGCTAGAGGCCCAGAATGCAGTGTTACAATAAGGCTGGAATGAGAAGGGAGAAGGGAATTTGTAGTCACTCACACCCTCATTCCAAAGGTTATGACCACACTGGTGAGAGATCTTGCTGCTCCCTAGAAGAGTTGGCCCACACTCATGTATGCCTCTTCCATCCGCTTATTTTCCCTCTTACTGTCTGGCCCAATCTTCCTTTACTCTGTGGGTTCCTTTTTACCTTAATAGTCCCCTCTCATTCTTGGGGTGTTTTATTGCACATTAGCAGACTTTATTTCTGTGTCTCTTTCTTCCATATTTGAATCATTCCTCCATTCCTCTCTTTTTTCTTTTTTATTATTTATTTACTTGTTGGTACTGGGGATTGAACCCAGAAGCCCCCCACCACTGAGTCACATCCTCAACCTTTATTATTTTACTTTGAGACAGAGGCTCTCTAAGGTCCTGAGGCTGGCTTCAAACTTGTGATCCTCCTACCTCAGTCTCCCAAATTATCGGAATTATAAGTGTGCACCACAACACTCAACTCTATTCTTTTTTATTTGTTTTATATGTTTTTCTTTCTTTTTTTGTGTTTGGGTATATGTATGTGTGTGTGTTTTTAATATTCATCTCTTCAGCACATTCCTTTGTATCTCTGTACTTCTTTTTCTTCTTTGCCTCTTTCTTGACTCACACATACAGGCTCTTGTTTTTCCCTTTGGGGATATCCTATTTATTCTCACATCCAAGCAAAAACAGACACCACGTGAGGTTTGTCCAAGAGAAAGTCTGGCTATCTTGGAGTTATAAAAAGTTGAAGCATTCAGAACTGTCCAAATCCTTTTCAAATGTGGAGGAGCTCCATGAGAGGAGCCAGTCTTATTTTGTCTTTGACTTTGTTTAGACTTGTGCTAAGAATCTTAGTTTCTGAAATTTAAAAAACAAAATGCCTTAAGAAGCCTAAAGAAAATTGGGAGTCAAGTTCATTCTACTTATTTTCTATCAGTATTTTTTCTCAGATCATATAATATGCTGACAACATTCTCTCTGATCCAGGAATTTTAAAAAGATTTTGTATTTGCTCTCCTTCATAGAGAACATGGTTAAACCACTAAAATATTTCCACATTGGAAGAAGTGGACTTGAGTTACAGAAACTTAAGGTTGTGGAATGTTTGGCTTTTGTGCAATAGAAATATCCTCAATTTCAAGTCACCTGCTAGCTCCTGTAGTGTATGTTATATAGCACCCTGATAAGATAAATTAGACTGTAGATAGAGATCAAATAGACGAATAAATTACAGACTAGAAGAAAAAATAAATGATGGAAAGAAGAAAGGAAGGTAGGTGCTTGGTTAGAAAGGAGAAAGGAGGTAGAGAAAGCAATGAAAATAGTCAGAAATAAGCAAATTGCACGCCATAAGCACCTCTGGCCCCGCTGAGGGAGGTGTAAGTGTTGCATCTCTGAGATACATGGATTCTGGTCAGTTCCCAGAACAAATATGAGTACGAAACCCAACTCTTGGGCTGGGTTCATGGCTCAGTGGTAGAGAACCAGACTAGAATGTGCAAGGACCTGGATTCAATCCTCAACACTACATAAATATAAATAAATAAAATAAAGGTATTGTGTCCAACTACAACTAAAAAATAAATATTAAAATAACAAACAAACAACAACACAACAAAAAAGAAAACCCAGCTCTTCCTGATCTGCTTGACCCAGAACTTGCCCTTCTTCCATCTGGTCCATAGTGAGGGGGCAGAGGCTAGAAAACAGATGTGATTATAGTTTGAAGAGAGGGAGAGAAAAGGTTGAGGTAGGGGGTGTGAGGGGGGAAAAAAAGCGGATGCAAAGCAAAGCTAAGACGACATAGACTAGAGAGCCTAGAGCAACAATCATGTTTTCCATAAAGCTTAGACAGATGGGGAAACTGAACTCAGGCCAATCGTTTGGCAGGGAGAGCAATGACCTCAATGTGCTGGCCTAGCTAAAGACTATAGTTTAGGAAAGCCTCCCCAGGCAGTAGGAGGGGACCATCTCCTGGGGTCTTAGGAGGAAGTCTGAAAGCTAGGGCAGTGAAAATGAGAACAGAATGTTCAGAGCAAGGCCAAAGGAAAGGGATGAGGGAGGAAAGCAGCACCTTAGAAGGCAGGGAGATACAGAAAATCAGAACAGCTATATGTTTGGGGGCTTTATAGACTTCCAAGAATCCAGTTTGTTGCCAGGCACAGTGGTACACGTCTGTAATCCCAGGGACTCTGGAGGCTGAGGCAGGAGGATTCCAGATTCAAGGCCAGCCTGGGCAACTTAGCAAGACCCTGTCTAAAACTAAAAATAAAAAGGGCTGGGATGTAGCTCAGTGTGTAAGATCCTGGGTTCAATCTTCAGTACTGCCACACACACAAAAAAAAGATCCCAGGTTGGGATACACAGTGGCACACATCTGTAATACCAGTGACTCAGAAGGATCTCAACTTCCAGATGAGCCTCAGCAACTTAGTGAGACTCTGTCTCTCAAAATTAAAAAAATAGAAAGGGCTGGGGATGTTGCTCAGTGGTTAAATGCCCTTGGGTTCAATCCCCGGATTCCTCCAATCTAAATAATAATAATAATAATAACAAAAAACAACAACAAAAAAAGAATATCCAGTTTGTTCAGGGTAATTTAGTTTAGTTAATTTCTTCCTGGTCACTGTGACGGTGTTCCCTTTCTTCTAACACAATTCCCCATTTGTTTTCGAAGTCCAAGCTTGGATGTTCAAGCTCATAAGAGCCTCAGATTTACTTCTGTCAGAGTGATCTGGTCAGCTCCGTTGTATTACACCATCAGCTTATCATTTAATTACATCAAGTCAAAGTCAATGGCCAGAAATGAGAAAATGCCATCTAGAGATATAAGCCTATAATTTTCGGAGGCTCTCTATGACTTGGGATGAACTCCTTGGGCAATAGTCCATATTCCCATTCCACATAGTCTACATCTTCTGTGCGAAGAGAACACATTTCCAGTAAAAGAAAAGCCCTCTGTGGAACTGACTGGCAGGTGTAGAAGTGACTTAATAAAGGCAATCTATGGTAATGCATTCCGCTGTCGTGTATTTAAAAAAAAATTAATAAAACTTAAAAAATTTTAAAAAATAAAGGCAATTTATGTTTGAGTTACCCAGAAAACTTTTTTTTTTAAGTTCTGTGGAAAATGGGTAAAATGCAAAGAAAAACAAGGGAGACAGAGATGAGAGACAGCAGGCTGGCTTTATTCATCTGTTTATTAGCCTATAAAGAATACACCCATTAGCTGAAGGCCTCTGGGCAAATGTACAGAAACATTACTACACTCCAATCCAACTAAATTAAATCCAGGGGCTAACACAAAAAAAAAAATTCCCATAAAAGGAAGCAAAAATACGAGGGGAGGGTTGTATGAGGTGGGGGAGGAGTAGAGGGAGCAGTATGTGTAGAGAGATGAAGCAAAGAAATAGTAACAGCCAAATGCAAAATAAGGACTTAGATGCCAGTAGGGCATATGTTCTCAGAAAACCAGGGCTAGAGAAAATTGTTTCTCCTTCAAAATCCAGCCTAGATGTTATCTCCTCCCCAAAACCTTTCCTGATTCCCCTGCTCCTAAAGAGTTAATCATTCCCTCTACTGAGTCCTTTGTTTGTTTTTATAATCTCAGGATCATCTTTATTAAACTCTTTTACATATCTTTAATTTCTATTCATCTGCAAGTTCCTTAATGGCAGAGTTTAAGTCTTACCCATTACCAGCTGACATAATGGTTAACATATGAGAACTAAAATATAGTCACTGGAATTGAGTGGAGATGAAGACTTGAAACAGTAAATTTCCATTTCTGAAGTATAAACATTCAAAAACTTAGTTAAATAGAAAGGGGGTACAGGATAAAGTTTTAGTAAAGTAAGCAATTTGAGAGTACACAGGGAACTGTTGCAAGTGGAACGAGTAAGCAGTGTATTAAAGTGATCTGAAGGTAATAGCGCAAAAGAAAATAGGTACAAGGTATGGTGGATCACACCTATAATCTCAGCTACTCAAGAAGCAAGAGGATAGCAGTTCAAGATCAGCCTCAGCAACTTAGTGAGGCCCTGTCTCAAAATAAAATTTTAAAAGAG